TGATACGGATAAGTAGCGACTAATTTTGTTTCAGGGTTGTATATTTGCTTGTTGATTCGTTGGCGGACAGCGGGTTGGTGTTATCGACGATATTCTTTTTTGTTGCGTACTTCTGCTATTGACTTGTCATTTTTTGTATGATGCGGTTGTTTGTTTTTTCGAGAGTTTTTTATGTGTTGACCGTTGAAGTTTGTTACAGATTTGGGTTTGAATAGGCGCTTGGTATATGGTTTTAGCTAGCCCATGCCGGTTTTCGTTTCTTGCATATTTCAATGATCGTCGCTAAAGGGTAGCTCCCACAGCCGTCGCATCATAATGGAGTCGCTACCAAACGTATGAAGCATGGCTCGTGTTCGGTTCTAAGTTCAGTTTTCATGGTAACGGAAAGGATCACGTGCGGCCACTGATAATCGTCCGAATTATCGGCCCACATAGAGTTTTGTTTCGTGTAGGATCGTTTACGATCGAGTAGGACGGTATCAGAATATGATACGACGCATAGGGAAAAGATAACTTACGGCACGTATACGGCCGTATTTTCGCCGTCGTAAACGGCTGTATACGATCGTTTCTGGTCGTCGTAAAGCTTGACCTGAAATCATCTGAAATCCTAATTCTTTGGTCTTTTAGTCATGCACAATCATGTACACCTACATAGTAATTCTTTTATTTTGTTGTCGATTTCTTCTAAACGCATACACTAGTATGTATAAGTTGGAGCAAGAAGTTTAGCAGACTTATATTTTTGAAATACTAACTCTTGACTGATAGCTAGGGCACATGAGAAAACATGACTTGTACGTGGGTGTGAGTGCTAATATGGTTGTGAATATTGACTCACAGCTAATTTTCCATTTGTTTTTTTCAAACATTTGCTGTGTCGGAAGGTCAAGGGTCTTCCTTATGTTCCGTGCAGTTTGATTAAGATATGAGTTTTAGGGTATACGTATAGATTTTCTCTTTACCTTCACACATCCAATCTGCAGCACACCATCTTTGCCTTCGCTCTTATCATAGTCATTTCAGCTATTCGGTTTATGTCGAAAATAAGCACTTATGAACGACATCGAATTGAAGTCATATATACCCGTATCATTGGTAAACATCCTCATGGGACATCACGTACACGTTCAGATCGAAACATCAGAGATGCTCCCAAACAGACTAAGGTATGAATTTTTTCCTAGTAAAATTTTGACAATCAATATACACTCATTCAAGTAAAGATTTATGTTGTTTTCGTTCTATTCAAATAGGTATGGATGAAGTCCGATACTGTTACGGCTAGATAGTAAAACTATAGGAGCGATCGGCTAGTTCATCTTTTACCATGAGATTGTTGAAAATAGTAAAAAGGAAAAGATAAGAGGTTGTAAATTTGTGTTTTGCAACTATTTCATTGTTGTTTATTTTTGAAGAAAAAGCCATCGGTATCAAAATGTCACAGGCATAAGCATTCTTCAATAAAATTAAAGTAGACCTTCTCTGTAATAGAAATCGAATATTTTAATCCTGACTTGACGTAATCGCGTCATAGTTACGAATCACCATGCGATCACTTCGATATTACTTTGTAGTTTCTAAACCAGACAAAATTAGGTACCAAGAATGAAAATGCTGCATTCACAAACGCACCTGAAATCCATCAGAGACAATCATGCCAAGAAAATCTTTTATTGAAAACAACAATACAACAAATAATTCCCAATTAATGTCATTCAAGAGAATTGTAAAAATTTATAGAAGTGTCTTTCGGGTGTCTATCAGTGTCTTCCATTCGGTTAAGTTATCACAATCACATTAATACCCTCGACCACAGTCATACTCACACCAGCATTAGCTCTCATTAACCCCGACCTATCCCGATACTCACAACACTACATCCAGACTCACCCACACACCCACACCCACACCCACACACCCACACCCACACACCCACACACACACCCACACACCCACACACCCACACACCCACACCCATCACTAATTGCATTTTTTTCCAAAATGTTGTGTTGATTTCAGAAGCGTTTCTATCCGTCCCAAGTTTTTTTTTGCGTCATGCTATAGAGCAAAGTTGAGTCTTTCAGACTAGACAAAAAAGACTAAATTGTAGGCTTGAGCACTCTGGAAAACCGAGGCTCAAAATCGGGTTTTTGACGAAAAATCTGTTTTTGTCCAAAGTACCCTTGACGAACGGTTTGCTCTAGAGAGCTGAAATTTTCTGGGCAATGGTATCTCATCAATATATGCTTGCAAGAAAAATTTCAGTCTTCTATCACTTTCCAGTGTGAAGATATGAAGTACCGAAATTGGCCAAAACTGTGATTTTTTCCTTCAATACGGAAATCCATAGAATACCAAGGGCTGAGTCGACTGAGCTGAAAATGTTTTTATGTGCACAACTTATTGGTATATATATTCACAGAAAATTTTAACTGGATTGGCTAAGTACTTCTTGAGATACATAGAGTCAAAAATCGCCTTTCGTTAAAGTGAGATTTTATAGTGCTCGTAGTAAAATTTCGATAAAAAACCAACCGTTCAATATTTTTTGAATCGGCTTTCGTCAAAACTCATCAAACGCTTGCCTCTATCATATATATTAAAATGAGTGAAATCTGAGGATATCGATTGAGCAGCTCCTACAGAAATCGGTCCTGGCTTATGTGGAATGGCTCATATATTAACTATTTTATGAAATCTAGAAATTTTTATGTTTTTGTAAATTATTACATATTGAAATTCTGAATTTATTTAATTTTCAACATCTTATTTTATCAATCTTATTTTATCGAAGAATTATTATGAACAAATAAATGATGAAATAGATTAAGAATTAATAGCAATATAATGTTATTTTCTGATTAAAGTATCATATACTTGTTTATTAAATAAAATATAGTTCTTATATTTAAATAACAGAAACATGTTTTATTATTAATGACGTCTTCTTTTCAAACTTTTTCTCGTTTTAATAAGATTTTGTTCAATATCCTCTATGTTTTGTTTAGCTTGTGCAGCTTCTTCGACAAATTTTTTCTTCTTCTTCAGCAGCTTTAGCTGCTTTTCCTTCAATTTTTGTAAGTAATTCTTGCATTTCGTTTTTTGATGCTTCTAATTTTTCTATTTCTAAAAATACAATAATAAACATTATTTTGAAATAAAAATTCAAAAATAGAATATTTACCTTCACGTGTTCGTTCTGGGTGTGGGTGTGTGGAGGGTGTGGGTGTGTGGAGGGTGTGGGTGTGTGGAGGGTGTGGGTGTGTGGAGGGTGTGGGTGTGTGGAGGGTGTGGGTGGGGGGAGGGGGGGGGGGGGTGTGGGGGTTAGTGGCCCCTCGCGGCCCANAAGTTCAAATTGAACGAAAATTAGTAGCACGAGGCAGCTCACAAACTGTCCAGCAAAAGTTCTCCTGGTTGGTCAATTGCTTGACCATTCAAAATCAGTAGGATTTTGTAGCCCCCGGCTTGCTCTTTTGAATGGTGAAAACCGCAGCTCGATAACTCAAAGTAATCAAAAGTTATTCAGAAAATGGTCGTTAACACTTTAAAAAAAATCCGACATTAATTATATCATAGAACACAGCATGAATAAACGGAAATATCCAACTTGAATATATCGTTCTAAACATCATAGATGTTATCTGTCAAAATTGTTCATACATGGCATATATAATTTTTTAATTGTCTTATTCCGATGTTTTTATTGTCGAATAGTAACTTTTATTAAAGATCATTTATTGTTAATTCCTATTCTTATTACAGATGAATACTTTATAATAACCCATAGTACCAAAGTCTTAGGGACAAAATATGAATTCATAAAATTTCACCAAACAAAAAACAATACTTACTCTCATTCATATTGATAAATCCTATTACCAACAGACTTTAGTTGAATATCTAATTTATTATGTATATCGTGCATAACTAGAACTCGCACGAACATTTTGGAAAGAAAAAGATCTTTATTTTTTCAACTGCTTTAGGAAAACTTTCATTCATAAGATACAAAAAAATAAACAAAAATATGCTTTCGCTAGAGTCACATCGAGTAAAACTTCTCTCATTATCGTTTCCTCCGTTCTTACATGTTCAGGTAGTAATGGAATTTCATCTAAATTAGCTTATTTAGGATCAATAAATCAATGACGAGCTGAAATAAACTAATACATTCCTACAATTACATTAACTTCACCAACAATTAAAATAGTATAATTCATGTTATCTTTCATTACAGGATATTTAGCTGGAAAGAACATAAATATTGATGTTATTGTTAAGTATATCAATGAAATAATAACAATAAGCAAACCAAATCGACCTAAATTAAAATTAAATATGATGCTTGACAACCAGCAGAAAAAATTGTTGCTGATACTAATTGAAGTAAAAGAATTAGACCACCAATAGAAAATACGAATATATCATTAGCTAATGGTGTTTTTGTTCCTTCATATATCCAACGTAAATAATGTGAAATAAAAAAATGCCATCACAAGCCATTGTAAATCTAAACATGAAAGAACAATAGTAAATCTCATATGTTTTATCAGGGTGTAGGTGTGGAATGTGGGTCTCAGTTAGAGTGTAGATGTAAGTCTTCTTTTTATTCACATCCACACGCACATCGTACATCGGTAAACTGTATTGGCATTCCACACCTACAGCCGCAAGCAAGTGTTCTAACGAGTAACTGTTCTAGATTTATTTCTGTAGATAACTTCAATGATGATTCATAAAACTCCTAAAACCTTCAAGAATCAAGACTATTTTTATAAATTTGTACACTAGGTAACTCAGGCAGCATGTTCGTATTCTTATCTCAAAAATCGTTTTTTCTTGCGATAAAACTCAGTTTTCTGACGGGACAGGGCCCTTAACATCAATTGTATGTATATTCAATTCTACTAGTTACTGTAAGAGTAGGCATTCGAGCACAAAAAAAGGTTAAGAATAAGAAGAATAATTAATGCCATTGCATCACGTTTTGGTACAACTTATCGAAAAATAGCTACAGTAAAATTCATCGGCTCATTATTTTCACTATTATTTTCAATGAATGTTTTAACATTTGATATAGCAAAAAGAAGAGCAAATAAGCACATATATCCGACAATAGCACTACATACGCATGTACCAATAATTCCTGTAGGAGCTATTTTAAAAAAAAAAAAAAAAAAGTTTATCATATTTAAGAATTTTTCTTTTTGTCATTGTAAGCTTACCTGCTCGACTTGGACATCTTGCTGCTTCAACTAAATGTTCACCAGCCATAAATTATCAATAATATTGTGTGAAAGGTTTTGTTTTCGTTCTTATTTTCATTACCTTCATAACTACAAAATGAGAAGAGTGTTGAAAGAACACTGATAAAACATACATAAACGAATGGCAAACCTGTACCATTATAAGTCAATGTAAATACATCATGAATAGTTGCTCATTGTGGAGTCGTATCAAATAAAACTGTAACAATAGTAAATTCAAAAGTTATTTAAAAGAAAGGAGCCAAATTATTTAACCATCCTTGTTGATCAATAAGAAGTGTATTTTGAACAGCCCATATAAATATAATACCAACATTAATATTTACTTGAACACCAAGATTTCATGAAGATTTATCATCAAGAACGACAACAGCATTCATAACTATTAATGGATGCCTCATAATGAATGACCAGTTGTCGTATTTCTTTTTTTATCATCTAGTATGTTTATTTTTAAAAACAAAATATACCATCAAATGTAACATGAAAAACTCTACAATGTACATTAAAAGCTTTTATTTTATATATGCAAGTTTTGTTTTCAAAATGGACAAAATTCTTCGAGATCAATTTTCGATGCTGCGAACGAGATCATTGATTGCTGCATGACGAATCTTTTTCTTATTTTATCTATGAATGAATTATAGTTTTTAAGATTATTTCATCGTAAGACTATATTCAGAAGCTTCTAACTATATCATGATTCTTTTTGAGTATTTAGCCCTTTGGTTTATGTGTCTTCGTTTGTCTGGCTTTTGTCGGCTTGGAGCATAAACACGTTCTAATAAGAAATATTTCTCACTGTTGAATAGAATTGTCTTTCATTGATGAGATTAAAAAAAACGTGTATTGATCATTCACTAAAAAATGATTATGTTTGCAACGTCAAAAATTGGTCACACGAAATTTTATTCATTTTGAAAACAAAACGTGCTTATATAAACTAAACTATTCTCTGTGAATTGTGGAGCTTTTCATGCTGCATCTTATGGTATATTTTGTTTTCAGACTAAGCGTACTAGATGAATAAAATAATACAATAACCGATCATTCATCATGAGTCACTCGTTAAAATGAAGAAAATATTTAGTACAAAAGAAAATTTTTTTTCTTTATTGGCAGCATTTCCAATAAAATTGGACCATCCCACTAATAAACGATACTGAGGGAACTCGTAAACAAGATGCAAGTTGATCATACCTAATCGAAAAATCAAACAAGCACACTTTTGCAGTAAATTTCCATAATAATTAGAATATTTTCTTTTCTTTTCAGCCAATAATAAACTAATTTTGCATTTGGATAAACTGAACAAATCTCAGCTAATGAAAGATCAATAAAAATAGTAAATAGTGATTCAATTAGCCAAGACCAAATAGCTATAACTGATGCCAGTATGTAATATAAAAGTAAAACCTAAACACATTGATTTAAGTACAACAACTCACTCTGTGAGAATATTCACTAGAGTCTTCTTCTTGTTTATTATGTGTCTCAACTTTTATTGTTATAATTATGGACGATCGTTTAATAGAAGTCATAGCTAACATAAAATTAGCCAATGTTTATACTGAATTTATAATAAGGGTGTGGGTGTGGGTGTGGGTGTGGGTGTGGGTGGGTGGCTGTGGATAATCCTGCTCTCTTCATTCACAACCACACCCACACCCTCTATATTCGAAAACAAAAAAAAACGTCTATATGTAAACATTAACAGAGAAAACAAACAGGCCTTTTTGTACTTCAATAGATTCTATTCAGTCAGTATAGTTGATTTATTTGTGTAGTGATTAAGAAAACACAGTTCGTTTTTCACTGTATCACTGTAAGACTTGTTCTTACTTCTAATAATGTTGAACTTCAACTAATCGAAACCTACATTGTTTTTTGCCCCGTTTTGATTATTTAATCTTTATGGCTTCTAATTCTTGTTTACGTCGAGATGATAATACAATAATTTCAATAGTTCTAAGAAAATTGCATCCTTAAATAAACCAGTAACAGATCCTTAATGTAGAAAGAATGTTAGTAATGGGACAACCATCTTTTTACACTCATCTGATGACGAGTTTCTTAATAATATAAAAATCATCATAAACAATAGAAAAACAAATTCTTTAATGTTTCTATGATCGTAGAAGTATCAGAAACGTGAAAGGAAAAACTATAACGATACCTATGCTATATTACAAGGAGATCAAAATCGAATTTGAACTTTGAGAAAATAATACATAAACAAGTTAAATCGATGGATAATAGAAACTTGTCTAATCTCGTACAGATAAAGGAAGAAAAGTCTAGTTGAACATGTTTAAGAATATCTAATTTTTTTTATGAATGTTAAAAACCAAAGAGGTCTAAAAATAATAATTTTCACATCTGGTATGTTGATATAAGCATAAGTGATCAGTCCTAAAGATCCTGGGCATTTCAATGAATCTCAACAGATATATCCATTGAAACGTGTTCAAGATAATGAACGCGAAAAAATATTTTTTTAGCGCAGGCTTTCAACATTAATACACATTGCTGCTTTTGAAGGCAGCAAAAGTTGTAGAAAAATGTTACACGCTTTTTTAGAGGTCATGTCTGACTAGAATCATGAATAGTGAAACCTTTTGATTCTAGTCGTAGGCTCAAACATTTTTATAAAATCCTCATGTGGGAGTTAAAAATGAGAGCGAACGAATTTTAGAATGGTACTGAAATATAATACAGTTAGTGTCTCTTGTATCGAACTCATATTTTGCAACGTGTGACAGTAGTGGAGATCAGGAAAAAAATTGCAACTTGCGAAAAAAAAAATGTATTTAAAGAAATATGTGAACGTTTATGTTCATCAAAATATAACCATAGTCACCAAAGACGAACAAAAATATTGGCAGATTCTAGTTAGTCGGGCTCAGATTTTTCGTACAGTTCTTTTTCACTTGTAATGAAGAATTTTCACTTCAATTTATTGACGATTTACTTTTACTAAACTCAGTGTTTCCTCAAAAATGTTGTCATAAACTGTCGGAGGTGGTGAAAAATATTCGTGTTCGTGCAAGACTGAGCTTGTAATAGTGTGTCATTTATCAGAGACAAAATGAAAACTAAATCATAATAGAAAATTTTCACAATAATTAGAACCTATCTAAGCCTTTATCTATTCTGAAGCTAGCCTAGCAAGACCTCGTTGCTCCGTCGCCTATGATTTGACTATACGTATAGATGCAGTATATATTATGTCAACGTACATGAATAGTATTATAAACTTTGTTTAGTTAAAGTCAAATGATGAAAAACCATTATTTCATGATCTAATTTAATAAAATTATTGATTACAAGAGCACAATAGTCTTTCTTTCTATTTGAACAAGAAAAAAAGAAAATCTATGAATTAAAATCGATTTTTATCGCTTCGAAATGAACATTCCGAAACTTAGAATGATTTTATTTTTATTTATTTAAAAAGTATGATAATAAAAAGTTATCGAACGGTTCGATTAGTATTATTTATCGATGGTCCCTCACATAAACATTTATCAAGTGTTGGAGCCATTTTCGATATAAAATTATCAATAATTTTTTTTTGCTCATTTATCGAATCAATTTCACGTAATAAACTTTGTTTATGTTCAATTAATATACTCATTTGTTCTCGTTCAGTTTTGTCATGACGCATTAATGTAGCCATATGACGATTAACATCAGTATCATATTGTCCATGTAATATTTGTGTTTCATTTCGAGTTTCTTTACCTAAATCAATAACTTTTTTTAATTGTTCAGTCACACGTTTTAATTCATCCTTAAAAAGAAAAAAGAAAAACTAAGACAAACAAAAGAAAAAAAATTTATTTATTTTTCTTTACTTGAAATTTTCTTGTTGTTGAATCATTAGACTTTGATAAAATTCGATTTGTATCTTCACATATTGGTGATGCTATTTCAAGTGAATTTTCATATCGTATCATTTTTGTTTTAAGTCTTTCAACTTGTTCTAAACGACCTTTAGCTGTATTAATCATTAAACGAAAACGAGAATCAGTATTTGATTGTAAACGTATAGCTTCTTGATGACATTGTGTTAATTTAGTTAATGTTGTATCAAGTTTTGAACGTATAGCTAATAATAGTGCTTGTTCATTTTCTAATTGTTGATTTGTTTCAATATTTTGTGATGCTAATATTTGCATACGATTATTGATAAATTGTTCAGCTTCAAGAAAAGATTTTTCTAAAAGTGATGATAACTAAAATAAACGTTTAGGAAAAAAAAAACAAAATTGTAATTTTTATTTTTGTAAAACATATTCATTTTTACATGAGTTGCTTCAGCATGAAATTTTTCAGCTTGATGAATATAAACTGTTGATGATTGTTCAACATCATGTAAACAATGATTGATGTCCATTTTGATAATAGATGGATGTGAAAATCCAATCGGTTAGATAAATATATGACAAACAAAGAAAAGAGAAAGAAAAAGAATTCAACTATACAAACAAATCGAAGAAATATCTTATCTTGTTTGATATTTTACCACGTGTGTTGTTACACACACTATTAGCGAATCGATATGAAAAGAAAATGTGCACTTAATGCGATAATATTGTCATCTCTATTCGTATTGGCTCTGTTTTTGTGTCAACTTTCACTTATACAGACGAGGGAACTACTCGAACTCATACATGTCAGTTAAGCTCAAGTTTAGTCTACAACCTAAAAGGGTTCGTTTACTTGAGCCTTTGATACAGAGTTATGACTGTTTTACCGCATTTTCGATCAAGTTTTAGATATTTACTGAAAAGTCAAAGAATGGAATTTCTACTTGAAATTTTGCATATAGATATGTCTGATGATTCTTGCAATATCTTGAAAGTTTCAGCTGAAAAATATGTTCCTTGATCGAGATATTGAATTTCGAAAAAAAGAACTTGTATTTTGCTATAGATTTAAGGGTTAATACTTAAAAATGGATCGAAAACTCAGTGAAACGATCATAACTCTCGGCTTCATAGG